TTTTTTTTATAAAGAATATCTCTTTGGATTTGAGACTTTAGTCTTTGCAACTTTACAGATCTTCTTTATGCACCAAGAGCTTGTAACACTTCAAAGAGAAAGGAAAAATTGAAATCGCATCATATGACCCCTTTAAACAAACAAACAAAAATGGACAGAATATATAACTTAAAATCAATACGAAATTGAAATGAACCCTGTTTACTTTTCTAATACATGTTCCTGGTTTTATTGTGATTGGTTCATCTGTTCCAAAGAAAAAAGACTTTGTCTTGATAATCTTTTATCAAAATGTAATAAAAATGTAATAACTTTTTTTTTCTGATTACGTTCACTGGATAATGTTAGCCAATAGCCAGTTAGCTTTTGCCATTTTATAAGTGAACTTTAATTCAATCTGATTTCATTCTGGTATGCAACTGCCACTTTTCACCATTCAATCATGTCTCAATTAATAAATTCAAGTGCCGTCATGTATTTTTAAAAATACGTCACATTACATCAACTTGAAGGGATATGTATTGCTTTATAGCACTGATGTCAGACAGTACATCTTGGAATGAATGTAGAAACAGATAATCCTTATCTTTTCCACTGAAGTGGGGTTTACAGGGATTCAGCCTGTAAAGAGGGATTTCTCTCCTGTTATCTGGTCCACTGGGATTCTATGAGTTTGACATTTAAGAATTGATCTGACACTCCAGAAAAAAATAAAATCAATGATTCCATCTCAGCAACCAGTTAGAGACTTGCATGCTTATATTGATAACCTCCAGGAGTGCAGGTGTTACAGTAATCATTGCTATCTCTCCACAGGGGTGTGCTATGCTGAATTTGGTGTGCGTGTGCCTAAAACCACAGGATCGGCCTATACTTACAGCTATGTGACAGTGGGAGAATTTGTGGCTTTTTTTATTGGCTGGAATCTGATTTTGGAGTATCTGATTGGTACAGCAGCAGGAGCCAGTGCACTCAGCAGTATGTTTGACTCGCTGGCCAATCACAGCATCAGCGGCTTCATGATCAACCACATAGGAACGCTTAACGGCTTGGGTGAGTTGCATTAATATTATTATAAATTTGTACTTAAAACATAATCATCAAAGTCTGAGACCTGGATTAATTTTAAAAGAATATTTTACCCAATGAAATTTAGTTGCAAATTTACTCACCCTCAGGCCATCTGAGATGTAGATAGGTTTGTTTCTTTATCTGAATGGATTTGGAGAAATTTTGCATTGCATCACTTGCTCACTGATTGATCCCCTTTTGTGAATGGGTGCCGTCAGAATGAGAATCCAAACAGCTGATAAAAACATCACAATAATCCACAAGTAATCCACATGACCATATGTTATTATGGATAGAGGACTCTCTTTTTTTTGCAGGAAGCAATGGTTTGAAGTTAAAAATCTTGATGTTTATTATAAATACACAGCTTTTCACTACACAAAACATTAATTGATGGACTGGAGTTGTGTAGATTTCTTGTGGATTATTGTGATGTTTTTATCAGCTGTTTGGACACTCATTCTGACGGCACCCATTCACTGCAGATGATCCATTGGCGAGCAAGTGATGTAATTAACAAACTCATCTACAGATAGATTTCTCCAAATATGAAATCTCTCTAATAAATCTATCTGTTCCAATGAAAAAACAAACTCATCTACATCTTAGATGGCCTGAGGGTTAGTAAGTTTTCAGCAAATTTTTATTTTTGAGTGAACTATTCTTTTAATGCTGCAAAAAGAAAACCTCTTTTATTTCACAAGAATATACTTGACAGCCTGATATTATTAATTCCAGCCTGTTTTCCAAATGAGTTAAACGATTGAGTTCATGTCTCTGAGTGTTGCAGTTTTCAAAGAAAGAATTTGGAAATGACACACTAATAACCTTGACACATACACACACACAGTCAGCAATTACAACACAAGTTACAGTAAGCTTAATTGATCAATAGACTGGAGTTAATGGTGCTGCAGAAAAGAAAAGGCACCTCTAACTTTAGCCGTCAATAGTCTGGTGACAATGACAATGTGAGGAAATGTGAGGAAAGCTTGTTAAAACAGAGCAACCTTCCTCACAGCTTCTGTTAAACTATGAAACAGCTGCTCCACTTACATTTCTGAAAAGGAAAAATAAGCACTTTCTTAGGCTGGGCATTTGCTATTAAAATTGGACAGAAATATTTTCAAAGCAGATATGATCTGAAGCAAATTCTAGATCTTGACATATTCTTGTTTTGCTAAATATTCATGTGAAAAAGGCTTCCATGTATCTTGAATACTGATTATGCAATTACTTGGTTATGCAATCATCTTTTCAAATGTTTCACACATGAATAAATGAATAATACTGTTTAAAAAGTATTTTATTTTTTACCGATAATGTTTTAATATGGTTGAATTGTTTGGTTTCAGTAAAGTAATAAAAATTAATTATTTATTATTGTTTAGAATATCACACATTTCTCTCACATCAATATGTATAGCTGCCTTTATATTTTAGGAGAAGGCCCCTTCTTGATTGAACAAAGGGATTGTCATATTTTGGGGTCCTTGGCATTAAAAAAGTTCCCAAATAGACACCTCAGACTACAGATGAAGGAATGAAATATTAATATTGGCTACTCTAGAAAGGACAATATTTGCTTACTGCATGGCATGTTTGGTTTGCAGACAGATATTACATATAGACTATTGTGTCTGACAAAACATGGCATATCATGCCAAAATACACAATCTTACTCAACCAGCAGCTGTTGCAAAATGTCTTTTTACTTTTACCAATCCATTTTCTCTGAGAATCAAATATCTCTCCATCTGTGTGTGTCTCTGCACACATGTAGCAGCCACGTTATGGTTCATAGTCATTTTCGCTTAAGGCCTGGTTAGTATGATGAGTATTTTTAGAAATGCATGGTTTATTCATGAGGGCATTGAGGGGTCATATGAGGACTGTCTGTTGTCAAGTTGTGAAAACAGCTGTCCAAACTCACTACTGTCATCTGAGAGACATCTATCTATCTGTTTATCTGTCTTTCTATTTATCAGTGGCATGCAGCACTGTTCTGAAATGAAGAGGCCTTATTGAAGTCCTCACTGTTTTTTAATGCTTTATTTTTTAATCAAGTGTGAATTCATATCCAGTTACACCTAATGTTTACATTTTTCTTATGTATTAAAGCTAAGTATAAGTCTCATCAATTTAGTATTTTTGAGCATTTTTGCATTTACTCCAAAAAATTATTAAGAATGCAGTAATGCAGTGTATATTTTATTTGTGAAATAATCTGTCAATGACATCATGATGACATAATCTATATTTCTGCAGTTATCATCTATCTATCTATCTATCTAAATTGGACAGAAATATTTTCAAAGCAGATATGATCTGAAGCAAATTCTAGATCTTGACATATTCTTGTTTTGCTAAATATTCATGTGAAAAAGGCTTCCATGTATCTTGAATACTGATTATGCAATTACTTGGTTATGCAATCATCTTTTCAAATGTTTCACACATAAATAAATGAATAATACTGTTTAAAAAGTATTTTATTTTTTACCGATAATGTTTTAATATGGTTGAATTGTTTGGTTTCAGTAAAGTAATAAAAATTAATTATTTATTATTGTTTAGAATATCACACATTTCTCTCACATCAATATGTATAGCTGCCTTTATATTTTAGGAGAAGGCCCCTTCTTGATTGAACAAAGGGATTGTCATATTTTGGGGTCCTTGGCATTAAAAAAGTTCCCAAATAGACACCTCAGACTACAGATGAAGGAATGAAATATTAATATTGGCTACTCTAGAAAGGACAATATTTGCTTACTGCATGGCATGTTTGGTTTGCAGACAGATATTACATATAGACTATTGTGTCTGACAAAACATGGCATATCATGCCAAAATACACAATCTTACTCAACCAGCAGCTGTTGCAAAATGTCTTTTTACTTTTACCAATCCATTTTCTCTGAGAATCAAATATCTCTCCATCTGTGTGTGTCTCTGCACACATGTAGCAGCCACGTTATGGTTCATAGTCATTTTCGCTTAAGGCCTGGTTAGTATGATGAGTATTTTTAGAAATGCATGGTTTATTCATGAGGGCATTGAGGGGTCATATGAGGACTGTCTGTTGTCAAGTTGTGAAAACAGCTGTCCAAACTCACTACTGTCATCTGAGAGACATCTATCTATCTGTTTATCTGTCTTTCTATTTATCAGTGGCATGCAGCACTGTTCTGAAATGAAGAGGCCTTATTGAAGTCCTCACTGTTTTTTAATGCTTTATTTTTTAATCAAGTGTGAATTCATATCCAGTTACACCTAATGTTTACATTTTTCTTATGTATTAAAGCTAAGTATAAGTCTCATCAATTTAGTATTTTTGAGCATTTTTGCATTTACTCCAAAAAATTATTAAGAATGCAGTAATGCAGTGTATATTTTATTTGTGAAATAATCTATCAATGACATCATGATGACATAATCTATATTTCTGCAGTTATCATCTATCTATCTATCTATCTATTGTTCTATCTATCGTTCTATCTATGGTTCTATTGCTCTATCGTTCTATCATTCTATCTATCGTTCTTCCGTTCTATCTATCATTCTACAGTTATCATCTATCTATCGATCTATCATCGATCTATCATCGATCTACCTATCGTTCTATCATTCTATCTATCATTCTACAGTTATCATCTATCTATCCATCCATCCATCCATCCATCCATCTAGTGTTGTATCGTTCTATCCATATGTTGTGCTAGTTTATCAACTGTATAGGTTAGAAAGGTATTCGAGACATCATGAGGCCTAAATAACCTCAAAAATCCTTTTTAAGGATTGCTTTTTAGATTTGTTTAAACTTTCAGACAAAATTGTATAACTCCAGCATCAAAACTGGCTTAACCATGTAATGCATTGTGCATTCCTACTTCATCACCTCTCAGGTAAAGGGGAGCAGGCGTATCCGGACATCCTGGCCCTGGTCATAGTCATCCTGGTCACAGTGATAGTTGCTCTAGGCGTGAAGAATTCTGTCGGGTTCAACAACGTGCTGAATGTCATCAATCTGGTGGTATGGGTGTTCATAATGATTGCAGGCCTCTTCTTCGTCAGTGGCAGCAACTGGGATGAGGGACGGTTCCTGCCTTATGGCTGGTCAGGGGTAAAGATTTCAAATCTATTATTGAAGTTCAATCCATTAGTGCAATTAGTGCCTCTCAGCATAAACACAGAGGAGGAAATTGCATTGTCTTGTAACTATAATAAACCGCTCTGCCCAACAGGTCATGCAGGGTGCAGCCACTTGCTTCTATGCCTTTATTGGGTTTGACATCATAGCCACCACCGGAGAGGAAGCCAAGAGTCCCAACACATCCATCCCCTACGCCATCACTGCCTCTCTGGTCACCTGTCTCACTGCCTATGTCTCTGTGAGTATATGGTATATTAACCATCACTAATTTTGGGTTATTTTCTCCATATACGAAGTATGAGACCACATTGAAAATCTGAAAATTTTCCATTTAAACCTGACAATTCTAATTCTATATATCTTTTGGCTGTTAAGTTTGATTTTATTCAAAAATGTATTCAGGTTATAAATGATTATGTTTAAGTTATGTCATTCACAGTCTGTTGATAACTGTATAAGTATCAACTCTTCTCTGTATAAGAATATAAATGATGCATGAGTTTTTATTTAAAAAGATAATCTGCAGTGGCATAACTTTTCTTTGTTCATTTCTTTGTGTTCATGGACAGTCATTGGTTATTCTCTTCATGCAGCATGTCTGGATTTATTAAAGCTCTCCGGCTTTATCACCGTGCAATGCTGTCTGTCTGTAGGAGGTTGTCATAGTAACGCAACGGGTATTAATTCACCAACAGACATCTTTTCTGCATCTTAGAACAATATATTCTATATATTTCATTTCTATTTTCTCTGTTTTCCTCTAATTGATCTTTTTATTCTTTCATCTCTCTCCAATTTTTCTCATGTGGTTTTGGTTTTAGCTGGAATGAAATTGCCTTTACTAAAATGGCTCTTCATTTTCACCCCTACAGGACTGTCTGATGAGGAGCAAACTTGTTAATTAGCAGCGTTCACCCCTCCAGATCTCATTTTGTTGTCGTAGAGGCTAATTTTAGCCAGGCATTTCATTTCTCTGTCTGTATGTTTTTGTGCATATGTGTGTGTTTGTGTTACAGATAAAGATAGTATTTTCTGAGATTTATTAAATGGGTCACATGGAATCGATGTCTTTGATCTTTTGATATAAAAGAGTCATTTGTACTAAGAAAACATATTGTAACTGTCAGAACCCAGTGCTTCCTACCTATCAAAAAAAGACCAGTTATTGAAACTAAGCCACAAAAACAGCTTGTTCTGTACTTTCGCAACTTGACATCAGATGAACAAAAATGAACACAGTGATACCTGTTTGGTGTTCAGAAACTTTTAAATAAATTCTAGTAGACCTAAACACCAGAAAAAATTAAACCTTTTACTGTTTCAGTCTACTTTGCATATTCTTCCAAAGATTCTCAACATTAGATGATAATTGTCATTTTAACTATGTTCCTGGTCATTTCAGTCTGGTCCTAACATTCATAATGGGGGCATTTCTTAAAGTCACAGTAACAAAACAAAACAAAAAATCCTTCATTTGTAAGGTCAATGAATCTCACTCTCTGCCTCTCTGTCTTTCTCACAGGTGAGTGTGATCCTCACTCTGATGGTCCCCTACACTGACATTGACACAGATGCTCCTCTGATGGAGATGTTTTCTCTACATGGCTTCCAAACTGCCAAATACATAGTGGCCATTGGTTCCATTGCAGGACTGACAGTCAGTTTGTTGGGCTCTCTCTTCCCAATGCCGAGAGTCATCTATGCCATGGCTGGAGATGGTTTGCTCTTCAGGTAAAAAATGAAATCACAGGGTTAAGTAATGATCTTTGATGCTCTGTAATGCGTCTGTCTCCATTATATGTTGCAAATGATTAAAATGCCATTTAAATATCATTCTCTGCTGGAGAAGTAAGCTCCTGCCATCACGCAGTCGCAAAATAAATGCTACTTAGAGCCCTGACATTTTAAATCAAAGCCAGAATAATGGGTATGTTGTAAGACTTCTTTGATAAAAATTAATGTTTGGATGATTCATCCTGTTTACACCTGGTATTAACATCAGTACACCCGTCACAGGTGATTAGAAGTGGTCAGACATGATGCATCGCCATTTATACTAGGTAGTAACACCTCTCGATGCATCTCAAAATGCATCACACTTGTATGATCTGATTTAAAGGAGAGGATCTATAATTTTTTTTAGTAGTTAAAAACAAAACTACTTGCACTACCAGGCCTTAAACTCTTATAAATATTATGTTTTGTTTGGGGGGAATAGTTTAGTACCTGTAATGAATTTCAGCTGCGCGTCACATAATCTATGTCACTACATACACTACTGTTTAAAGAAGTCTCTTATGCTCACCAAGGATGTATTTATTTGATCAAAATACAATAAAAATAGTAATTAATTGTAAAAATAATTTTAAAAAATCAATTTAAAATAACTGGTTTCTGTTTTAATATATTTAAAAATGTAATTTATCCCTTTGATGGCATAACTAATTTTCAGCAGCCATTTCTCCATTACTTCAGTGTCACATGACCTTCAGAAACTATGCTGATTTGGTGCTCAAGAAACATTTCTTATTATTTTCAGTGCTGATAACAGATTTGTAAATATTTGTGGCCCTGCCTGTGAAAACCTAGCTAAAGTTTTGGGTTTTACTGTTTTCTACATAAAACCATCCTTCATTAATGTAAAGAACATTGCGTCAAAATGTAAACCGTGATATCTTTAATATTGGCCATGTATGGCCATGTCAAATATTGAAATCATAGTGAAATTAATGGTTGAAATCAAACTTTCAATCAAACGTTTTAAATTTTTTGGGGGGAAATTTAGCCTAGATTTCACAGACAGGGTCTGTTTTTTTTGTAGAAACTGTGATTCCATTTTCTTCAGGATTTATGCTCACCAAGGATGTATTTATTTGATCAAAATACAATAAAAATAGTAATTAATTGTAAAAATAATTTTAAAAAATCAATTTAAAATAACTGGTTTCTGTTTTAATATATTTAAAAATGTAATTTATCCCTTTGATGGCATAACTAATTTTCAGCAGCCATTTCTCCATTACTTCAGTGTCACATGACCTTCAGAAACTATGCTGATTTGGTGCTCAAGAAACATTTCTTATTATTTTCAGTGCTGATAACAGATTTGTAAATATTTGTGGCCCTGCCTGTGAAAACCTAGCTAAAGTTTTGGGTTTTACTGTTTTCTACATAAAACCATCCTTCATTAATGTAAAGAACATTGCGTCAAAATGTAAACCGTGATATCTTTAATATTGGCCATGTCAAATATTGAAATCATAGTGAAATTAATGGTTGAAATCAAACTTTCAATCAAACGTTTTAATTTTTTTTTTTGGAAATTTAGCCTAGATTTCACAGACAGGGTCTGTTTTTTTGTAGAAACTGTGATTCCATTTTCTTCAGGATTTGTTGATGAATAAAATGTAAAAAGAAACATTTTGTAACATTATAAATGTCTTTACTGTCACTTTTGTCTATTTTTATGCATCCTTGCTGAATAAATGTATTAATAAAAAAAAAAAAATTACTATCCCCAAACTTTTGAACAGCAGTATATATAAATGCACTTTTCTGAGGTTAAAACACTTGTGTTAGTGCAGTCGTTGATTGACAGTTGAGTAGTCGGTACACTCTCAGAAAAAAGGTACTGAAGCTTTTATTAGGGTAGTACACCTTTGTACCTTATTTACCCCTAAAGGTACGTATTGGTAAGCAGAGGTGTCATGCCCATTTAAAGTGAGGGGGCAAATTTTTCAGATTTTTGAGCCAAGTGGATTTTAAATGCAGCTTCCAAAAGACAAAAAATAGCCGATTAATATTTTCTATATTTAATACAATCACACCGATGTGATTAAAGTACTTGGTACATTATCAGCGCAGCGGGAGACGTTCAAACTAATATCACGTAATTTACGTCTCTTTGATGATTGGTTGATATCAGAAGGGAGGCTAGCCTCCTCTGCGAGGGTTCTTTTCGCAACACTCCTCAGAGCTGAAAGTGAACACTCAATGGTGATTGGCTAATTTATTTTACTAACGGAGGCACGAAAGCTCAGCGTCTCCCCCGGCCTCCCCCTACCCTTCTCTATCATTAGCGGTTGCAATTACATCAGCAGATTCGGCACATTCGCGATAGAAAAGCGGCGCTTTCACCTTATGGTATTACAACTGTGAAATTGCAAACAAAAAATACACATTCTGAGACATGAACTGAAATGAATTGTGAATTTTATTAACATTAAATTGTCCTCTTCCCATTTTAACCTCAAAATTATGGGGAAGCTGTGCCTCCCCTGCCTCCCCTGACGAGCCGCCGCAAATGTACATATTAGTACCTAATTGGTACATATTTGTACCTTTTGAAAGGGTCCAGTGACAGTTCTGACAGCGTTTGTCCTGTTTTTTTTTTTTTTTTTTGAGAGTGTATTTTCTGGTGTCTGAGAAAGATCAGCACTCTCACTTCAATGCCATAGCACTGCCCTTTTGTGAATGGAGGATTGAAGGTTTCATGTGCACTATCTGTATGTTGTAGGTTTCTTGCCCATGTGAGCACATACACAGAGACTCCTGCAGTGGCCTGTGTGGTGTCAGGCTTCCTCTCTGCTCTCTTGGCTTTGCTCGTCAGTCTGAGGGACCTGATCGAGATGATGTCCATCGGCACTCTGCTAGCCTACACGCTAGTGTCAGTGTGTGTGCTACTGCTGCGTTACCAGCCCGAAGGAGACATTCACGGATTCGTCAACTTCCTCTCTGAGCAGAACACAAAGCGTAAGGAGGGAGTTCTAGCCGAGTGTGAGAAGGAAGCCTGTTCGCCAGTCAGCGATGATTATGCTCCAACAAACACCTGTGGAGCCAAGAACTTGCCGTCTCTAGGAGACAACGAGATGCTGATCGGTAAACCCGACAAGACCACCTACACCGCCAGTCACCCCAACTACGGCACAGTGGACATGTCCTCAGGCATCGAGTCAGACGAGGCAGATAGCGTGTACCTGCTGAAGCTGAAGAAGCTGCTGGGGCCTCGCTATTACACCATGCGCATTAGGCTCGGCCTGCCGGGCAAGATGGACCGGCCCACTATGGCCACTGGCCGCATCGTCACCCGCTGCGTCATTCTGCTCTTCATCCTCATCTTCTGCTTCTGCTCCCTCATCATCTTCGGGTCGGGTCAGATCGCTGATGGCCAGTGGTGGGCCGTGCTGCTGCTGGTGCTGCTGCTGCTGGTCATCACGCTCTTGGTCTTCATCATCATTCAGCAGCCGGAGAACCCCAAGCGCCTGCCCTACATGGCTCCCTGTGTTCCTTTCGTCCCGGCCTCTGCCATGCTGGTAAATGTTTACCTCATGCTCAAGCTCTCCACCATCACATGGATCCGTTTTGGCGTATGGTGCTTTGTGGGTGAGTTTCAGTATTATTTTAAATAGACAGGTTTATACAGACAGTATTTTATTTAGATGGGTCATTTCTGATATGCAGGACAGTTTCACATATACACTACTGTTCCAAGGTTTGGGGTCAGTAAGTTTTTCATTTTTTTTTTTTTTTTGAAAGAAATGATTCATTTAGAATATAGAAATTAATTTTATTCCGCTTCGTCAAAAGTAACAGTGAAGATATTTATACTAAAGACTTTTATTTCAAAGAAATGTTGAAATGTTGAACTTTTGAACTTTATATTCATCAAAGAATCCTGAAAAAATATTAAGCAGCACAACTGTTTTCAACATATACTGGTAATAATGAGATATAATAAGACATACAATAATAATAAGAAGAAATGTTTCTTGAGTATCAAATCAGCATATTAGAATGATTTCTGAAGGATCATGTGACACTGTGAAGACTGGAGTAATGATGCTGAAAATTCAGCTTTGCCATCACAGGGATAGATTACATTTTAAAACATTAAAATGGAAATTGTTGTAACATTTCACAATATTACGCTCTTTACTGTTTTTCTGATCAGATAAATGCAGCCTTGATGAGCATAAGTGACTTCATTCAAAAACATAAAATATCACCAACCTCAAAGTTTTGAACGATAGTGTAGTTTCATATGTGTCGGGAAAAACTGACCAAAAGTACTTTAAATAAATCTTTAAATGAGCATGGACTGAATTTTATATAATGAAACCTTGGCAAATTATTATGTTTCTTAATATTTTATTTTATCTAATTTAAAAACAACATTTAAATATAGTTTTCATTTGCAATAAAAATATTTTTCCTATGTTCTTAATATAACGTTCCTTCATGTTTCTTCCATGCTTTGTAATATCGCTAAAAACAGTTCCCTTATGACATCATCCTACATAAAGTGACATCATATTCACATTTACATTTACATTTAGTCATTTAGCAGACACTTTTATCCAAAGCGACTTAAAAATGAGGACAATAAAAGCAGTCAAAATCAACAAAAGAGCAATATGCAAGTGCTATGACTCAGTTAAGTCTCAGTTAGCTTAACGCAGTACACGTAGCAAGGTTTTTTTTTTAATTATATAAAAGATAAAAAAGAATAGAGCAAGCTAGTGTTAGAGGCCTTTTTTGCTTTTGTTAATTGTATAATAAACAAAAAGAAAACAGATAGAATACCAAAAGATTAGAAAAGCTAGTGTTAGTTTTTTTTTTTTTCAAGAAAACAAGCAGTAAAAGAATAGTGTGCAAGTCTAAAAGGGACAAGTTTTTTTTAAAGAATAGAATTAGAATAGAGAATGCTAGAGTTAGAGGGTCAAATAAAGATGGAAGAGATGTGTTTTTAGCCGATTCTTGAAGATGACTAAGGACTCAGCTGCTCGGATTGAGTTGGTATTTAAATAAACATCCGTAATTATCACCAATGGAATTTGATAAATTCTTTGATTTATTTAGTTAGTTAGTTACTGTAGTTTGTTAGTTGGTTGGTTGGTGTAATGTTTCTAAAATGTATATGATAATATTACTTTTGTAATATTAATTTTTAAAGATGGTTGTGTAAAAAATCAGAATTAACTTCATATTGACACCTTCATCCAAACGGTCATTCCCTCACTGAGCAATTGCTAGTATTAGCTTATTATTTCCATCCTGTTCATTTTATTTTTTAATTAATTAATTAATTTTTGCCATTTTGTAAGTAATCAAGTTATAATTAATATATATTCTTGGTGAATTGTTTTTATAGAAATACTTCCTTAAATTACATTTTACAGTAGAATTTACAGAGGTCAAAACTCCTGCAAAACAGAAATGACCCACATGGTCCTACTATTGGTCACCACTAAACACTATTGGTCACCACTGGTCTCCAACAGTCTGCTCTCTCTTATATGAGCAGACTAATACCTCCACTATTACTCATTTGCTATATTTGACTGAGGTAAACTTTTGATGAGTGAGAAAAAACACTCATCAGTAACATTTGTGCAGTAGCTTATGCATGTGTGCATTGTTTGTGTTGTCTCTGTGTGTTCATCTCTGCAGGTGTTTTGATCTACTTTGGCTACGGAATGTGGAACAGCACCCTGGAGATCACGGCACGCGAGGAAGAGGCCCATGCCAGCACATACCAGCGCTATGACACGGGTGTGGACGACAGCTTTGCGGTGGATGATGATCTGTACCCTTCTGGAGACGGAGGGCCGTTACAAAGCTGGGGCTCCCATGAGGGCAAAGGTGGGCAACAGAAACAGCAACGCCAGGAGCAGAGCGAGCCTCAGCCTGACGGCCTGGACAAGGTGGACAACCACAGGACCTCTTCTTCCTCCTCACACAGCAGAGCCAAAAGCAAAGCTGGCAAACCCAGTCCGGGCTTTGAGGCGCTGGTAGTCGATGACGATTTGGACGATCCCTTGGAATGAGAATGTTATCCGAATATACTCGCCTGCCAACAACTGCAGAACCCTTGGGCTAGGTTGTTATGTCTCTGCAATGAGTTTGTATTTTATACTTGTTCCTTCATTTGCAGCCCTTTTTCACTACTGATAGGATAATGAGAACGCATAAGATGGGATTGAACTTTTAGAAGACTTTTTTGATCACACAGAACCTAAACAGCCCAAATATTCCTTCTTTTTTAAATGAGTTTTAAAGGGGTCATATGATGCGATTTCAAGTTTTCCTTTCTCTTTGGAGTGTTACAAGCTGTTCATGAATAGATAAGATCCCTAAAGTTTCCGCTCTAACATCTAGCCCAAGTGAGGTTTGGACTGTAGGTTGTCACAAATGGTAATTGGATTTTGCTTGCAATAGTGCCTTCATCTGTCAGTGTGTGCTTTAAATATGACCATCAAGATGTCCATGCTTGTTTGTTTGTCATTTCTGTTGATGTCGACATATCCATGGGTTTGTTTTCCTGGTGAAGGTGCCTGTTAGCCGTCCTGTGTCACCACCGACCATCCATTCATCCTATGTGCCAGTGACTCCGCTTCATCCTTGCAAGCAGGCAGCTCTGTGTAAATACTGACGGTGTGACCACAGTACGATTTGTGTCTCTCGGCTGGTCAGTGTGTCCTTGAAAAAAAAAAAAAAGGAGAAGAGGTGTAGGAAAACAGAGGGAGTGAAATTTGCATGTGGTGGGGAGTGTGTTGTGAATTTTTTATCTGGCTGTGCTCTTCTGCTCTTCCCCCATAATTCACATGGCGTTCAATTGATCTGTCCAGTCTAACTCTATCTGTGCTACAGCTCTGCCAGCCGAAAAAGGCAACAGAAAAAAAAACCAAGCCAGGCCTCAAATCCATACATTTGGAAGGCCACATGTGTTCAAAATGCACTGAGCACATCATGCCATATTGCTTTGAAAGTCTCCCTCAAATATGTTGAAATGTTAAAAAACAAAAGATTGAGTTGCCATAAATGATTTGCTGGCTGTGTCCATTGAGTCCCATTAGATCTATAGAGCTTCATTTTGGGGCCTGGGTTGGTTTTGTTCCTTGCATCTGGTCTATGATGTGATTCTTTGTCTTTGCCGTGGCATTTTGCTGAATGTGTAGCATGTTCAGAACAAACGGGCCCAGAGTAAAACTATGTTTGTGAGTGTTTGCATGTGTGGTGACTGTTGAAAGACTTGATGTAACTCTCAAAGGTAGCATTCTGAAAGACGAGGGTAGCAGCCTGCCCACCGTACACCCCCAAACCCTCCAATTCCCGAGTGGCCTCTGTTTACAAAGCAAGCCAAAGTCTGCAACCTTTGTTTACTATATCCGACAAAAGATACCATTTTACTTCCGTAGAGTAGAACACCATATAACAGTGTGGAGACGCGAAATATCGAAGAAAAGTATTTTTTTACAGGCATTTCATACCTTCAGGTTCTCCGTTGGGGTAGCGTAGCCACCGCTGGTGGTGTTTTGTGGGTTCAGAAGAACTTCTAAAGAAAAGTGGTGAAAGCCTATATTTTTAATGAGCTCTTTCTAAAAACGTAACTGGAGACGTTTGGATTTTGATTTCGTAGTTGTGATTTAAATAAATGTTAGCACATAAGAATAGACTTAAAGAGGGCAAAGTTTTAAAGGGATAGTTCACCCCGAAATGAATATTCTGTCAGCATTTCCTCACCCTCATGTCGTTCCAAATCTGTAAGATATTTAGAAAAATGTTTTTGTTTATACAATGGAATTCAATGATGTTGTTTTGGATCCCATTGACTTTCATTGTATGGACAAAAACCATTCGAGTTCACCAGAAGTCAAGTTTGTGGGTAAATAATGGCATAATTTTCATTTGTCGGTGAACTTTCCTTTTAAGTAAGATTAAAATCTACGTACAGAAATATTTTATTAAAAATCTGTCTGTAAAAAAAATCAAAAATGTTTCAACTATTGCTTTTAAAGTCAGCTACTATTTGTTATTTGTCTCTGAGAAAAGGTACAGTGTTTGTACTTTGTGAACTATCTTTCCTGCTATCATACTTTGTTTGGTATTTGTTCAGGAAATGTGGAGATTGGCTTCCCTTGCAAATCTGATCTTTGTTTCTGCTGTATATTTTGGTATGAAGTGGATGTATTCTGGTTTCAAAGATTTTTTTAAAGAATCTATTTATTGTTTCTTCTACTTGTGGTTTTGCTCTCCCGTTGCACTGTGTAATGAGATGTTAATATTGCTTCCATGCAACAATGAAAGTCATTTATTGCAGATCAGATAGTGACTCTTGGTTTTCCTTTCGCTTTAAGGCGGTCTCACACAACCCGAAATCAGAGGTAATAAATATGCTCACATGGGTGGCTTGTGTAAGCGGTGCAGGCCCGCTCTGTATCCTGTGGGGTGGAGCGCTGAGCCTAGAATAACAGCGATCCGAGGGTCGTACCTGAGCACAAAACAAACATGGTCATACTGGGAGGGGCGCCGCTGGCTATGCAGAGGAATGCGATGAACAGATCGAGATGTACTGTTCCATTATCATTGCCGCAATGGTGGTCGATGTAGTACAATATGGTTTGGAGATCTCAAAGCATGTTGTTATGTTCAATTCATACAGTTCAGACCCGTCTGTCTGTATGGCGCAAACATCGACACAACCTGAAGCACACTCCTTTTGTGGGAGGGTCTTCATAAGTGTTATTCCTATGAGGCACTCATAGGACATCATTTGTGCCATCTGTCATCAGCCTGAATCAGATTTAAATGTGATGTCCTTATCTGTTTTAAGGGGAAGCCTCCCCTTTTTGTGATGCAAAATATCCTGGTGCTATTCCTGGATGTGAAGATGACGGTAAATGCTTTGATGGTGTGGTAGATGGTTAAATTTTCTATATATGCTTAAAAACATGTACATATTATGCACTTTTATGCTTATGCTTAAACATATTAGTTGCTTTAATACTAGCACATCCTAATCCTTATGCAAAAGGTGATATTAACTCACTGCTCAAAGAATCAGTAATTTCCTGTAAGAAGCCTTTTGTTGGTTTCAGAACATTCTGGAAACTGCATATTTTTCTGGTCATTTCAAGGTTAGTCTCATGCTGTGAGATTTTAATCATTAACTTTTTTTTTTTTTTACTGGTGTATTAGGTACACAATACACAATTTTGTAATTTTTAAGCTACAATCAGTTTTCCAAGGAAAACACAGTCAAACTAAAATTAGCGAGTCATGGTTGCTGTATTTTCAGAATATGATTATTCTCTTGCAAGAAGTTGACCCCTACAGCACTTTGACTAGTAAATGAAGTTGTCATATGTTTGTACAAATGCTGATATACCCTTTCTAAAATTATGCAAAGAACATTAAAGGGTCATGAAACCCACCATTAATCAGTTTTCATACATTTTGAAACTTACACCGAAGTGGGTGTAGAAAGAGACATCTGACATAGACTTCAGTTAACAAAAATGTCACTTCCTGTTGATTCTGACTCAATACTGATTTCGAATCCGGTGCCATGAATAGCTGGGTTCCCCCTAACAAATGGGTTCACACTTGGGAATAGTCTTTTATTATTGTATCTTGTATGCTATCAGTTCACTACTGTAGCCTGCTATATTGTACAACAGGTGATTTTATTAAATGTATTTTAAATTAAATATTTTATTGTGTTACATTTTATTATTTGCATGTTCTTAAATTATTAAAGATGATATATGTATTAATCTAGCAGGCTAACAGGCTAGTGCTATGCTAAGTTAAAGAATATTTCACATTCTATAGCTTTGTGAAATTATTAGAAAAAAAATGTAGAGGTAATTAGAGTCATATTTGCATAATTAAGACAACATATAGCATGAGCCAAGTGTGTAGGTTTTCTAATCAGGCACTGAATAGAGCTTACATTAAAAGGCCTTTCAGCCAATCCAATCATTAGGCGGACACATTTATGCTAGGGGACACATTTGTTCATGACACCAAATACTAAAATAGACCAAAAATTCCTATATGATCTACTTTACTCTTCAGATAAAGTACCATGTATAGCCTATTATCTGCAACACACTGTATTTGTTAACCTCTTAAAAATGTGTTAGTGTTTCATGACCCTTTAAAAAAAAGTGCTAAACAACTTCTCTCCAATGAAGGCTGTATAAACAATAAGTTTTCATCTTCCTGATTCCGTCTAATTCAAGTCAATCTCTGCTTCATCTTTCTCCCCTTCTGCTTTTAGGTTATTTGCAGCCATATCTGGAAAAGAAAAATACTGTAGATTCCAATACAATTTTTCATTGAATTTTCTTCACCCCAAACTACCTCTAACCAAAGACTGAACGTATAAGATCTACGAAAAGCAATATTTGACATCACCCTACACAGATAAATCATACTGCAGTGGTTAAATTTGCTGTTTTCTTTTTTACACAATGTATAAAAACATTCACATGTTGTTTATATCCTCAGCCATTTTTGACTGTATGCCCACTGAAACTCCATGTATAACAGGAAGCATTCAGTGCAAGGACCCCAACCAGAGAACAAAGACGGAGACTCGTCGCAACCGGAGCATAAATCTTCCTTTATGGCCAAATGTGACCGTTAACCTTTAATCAGCGCTGTCTGCCAGTCATTGAGTTGCCCATTGGTCGTAATGGGGCGAGTTTCTCATTGGAGTAAGAGAAATCGATATGCGTACATGTCTTGGGTGCCTGAACTGAATGTGCGTATCGAGTGCTTTTAGTGAGAATGAATAAGAGGTTTAATGATGATGCACTACACCTGCCTGGGCATCTGACAGCAGACGCTGCGTTCTCGACAGTATACAGTCCTGCGAAGAGCAATTCAGTTCAGTTTCCCAGCACAGAGGGTTTTATTTATAAAAGTGACATGTTACCTGTAATCAAAAAACTATTTCACAGGCATTTTCACATGGACAACATTGTTTATTACAACAAACTTAATAAAAAACTGCATAGAAGTATAACAATAAATAATATTGCTAAATAATTACTGCTTTGGTCCAATTTTGGTGTAGTGTTTGGGCGGCTATTCTGAAATGGTCTGAAATTGATCAAAACAAAAACATAGCTGTACAAACAGACTGAAATAAACTGAAAGATTTAGAATAAAAACAACATTGGCAATACTGTTAGTATTCATATAAAAATGCAAAAACTCATTTCTCACTACAAAAATAGGACTTAGAATGGCACATTGTACTGAGCAGAATCAGTAGAAGACCCTTTAAACACTGAA